AAACAATTTTTTTTACTATATAAAATTAATTTAAGACTGCACAGTATAAGCATTTAAAAATCTATTTTCTATAAGTATCTTCTGGTATCAGTAACCCAAATAGTAAATAAATCAGAGATTCATAAGCCAAATTAAGCGAATCAATAGAAACTTTCCTAATCCGCTGGCTTACCAGATAACCACAAGCAAATACAATTCACTAAAGATGCTTTTCATACATCCAAATGCAACTTGGCCCGAGGAAAGCTGGTAAAGTTTATTTTTGTTATCAATTTGGGTTACTGGCTAAGTACAAACAGCAATAAACATTTCCCTCAGCGTTGACTATTAAGGCAAAGATTTAGTACTTGAATGATTCCCTCGCTTTGTGTATGCTGGTTGTGTTGCTGCCATAATTCTATGTTGGTCTGGGTATATATGTGTTCGTGTGTATATAGTGGGTGAACCCACACAACCTTGACACGCCTTCCACAATGTTTTGTGTAATGCCTAGGCTAGCAGTTACAACACCCATAACACACACGCCTTTCTTTCATTCAAGTTTCTATATTCACCCATTTCCCATTCGCATTCCCTATTCCGTTTTAGTTTTTGTTCTTGGGGCTGCTCTCTTTTCGGGTCGAACTTTTGCGACATTGGCACTGGCGAATGATTTAAAACTTTTCTTGTTATTTTCGTCTTTAACAAGTTTTCCGGTATCCCCAACTGGAGCCGGAATTGGAGCTATACCTCTTCTGAGATGGAGCAAGGCCACCCATGGGCACTATTTGCTGCTGGCAAAGTTGTACGCAACAAATTAATTTAATGTCAGACACAAGACGCAAACTTGCTGGGTTGTGGCTTGCATCGCTCGTAAAATTAGACTGGGTAGTGACTGGAGTTTATTCTACTTCTTTCTTGTTTTGTTTTTGTTTTGGGCCTTTAAATGAAGTGCCGGTGACATAAATTCATTTAGCACAGGCGCTAAAACGGAAGCCAACTTTTATGGATGCCAGCATTTGAGCATTGCATGGCAACTAGTGGGTGATGTTAAGACATGGTTTTAGGAAGTGTCAGGTGACAAGGTAGGATGTTGGCACTTAATTGCTTGCAGGGTGATTTAACGATTACCTAAGGTGGAAATAAAATATTACAGTTTTTTTAAGTTCCAAATGATGGGAAAACTTTTTGTTGTGCTAAAATAAAATGTTAATACAAGAAAATGTTTAAATTCAGGTTTCAAAGTATCATTTTGACTTATTAAGAAGTAAATATGTTATTGAAATAATACTATAAATGTTTATCTGTTCTTTCGTTTGGTAAAGTTCTTAATTTTAAACTTTTTTTATTATCGCTATTAAATTTCCATCCAAGTAAGTGCGTAAACACACAGAAAAAGCCACAGTCAGCTATAGCTTTAGTCTTAAAGCTCTTCCACTTACCAAAATGTCGCGTGGGTCTTAAATGGAATCAGGACCTCTTACCACCTACGATTAAACCTCATCCCTCCACCAACCCACTGACCATTTGGCAAGCAGAAACACTCTGATTCCGGAGTGGAATATACCGCACTTACATTGCCATTTGCTGGCACTACATTCATTACGAGGGCAGTGGGCCTTACCACCCAACTTCGCCCGGGATAATTGCACTTGTCAGCATTTGTTTTGCACTGACCAGCAAATGACCCCCAAAGTTACATACCCACATTTAATATACAGTACACTCAATACGCCCGAGTTGAGAATGGCGTAACATAAATTGCCATTGTGTGCTATAAAGTGCAAGTAAAATAAATTGAAACGGGAAAGTTTACATTTTATGTATAAATATTGTATGTGAGGGTAAACCGTTCGTGGCACCTTCCCCCAACTTCGTGATGTTGCGAATTTATTGCACTCCATTTGAACGTTTTGCTGAATTATTGTAGACGTAAATTGAAAATGGCAAAGCTGGGCAAAAAGAAAGCAAGTATATATCAAAGAATGCTGTCCAACTTCCTTATTTTTTGTCCATTTTAATGGCCTGGTCAGTGCAGCGTAAAACAAGGGCCAAACAATTGCATTACATGCTCCAAATGGGAATCGATGCGGATGAGTGCACACAGCTGCTTTTGGGGCAATGCCTTAAAAGTACCCTTTAGCATAAATATTTGCGCAGAACCACCGCATTTGTCTAGACATTTGCATATTTATTCGAATCAAAAATAAATTTGCCGCTCATAAAAGCAAGAAATCAATTTTCTTTTGCCTCACAAAAAAAAAAAGGTTCCGAAAGTGATACAAATTTGGGTGGGAGGGCTAAATATTCACCCTTTCAAAACAGAAAAAACACCCAGTAAAGGATTAATGTAAAATTTATATATAGCCAGAGAGACACTCTGAAACTTGCAATAAAATGTAAATATTTTATAGATAAGCTCCGAATGAGAGTGAACCCTTTTTTGCCTGCGGTTGCGGCCTTTGTTGAACCTTTTTTAACCTGATTTTGACAGGGCTAATGGGCTTACATCATGTTGTTGTCTGCTCATCGGGTAAATGGGTACTGTGAAATTCCAGTAGGCTTAGCGGTTCATCAAACCGTGCTCAGTGGCTTAGGTCACATTTAATTCAATTGAAAAGTGCAGGGAATTACGTGATCAGATACGCAAAACAAAGGTGAGCAAAATGTCAAATGGCTGCTGGCTCAATTTCGTGTCAACGACGTAGTTCAGGTAATTTCCGCAGAAACTTTGGCAGCCATTTTGTCGCTGACATTTTATTTATGTGCGGCCATAACTCAACTGTAAATGCTCACATACCAACGTTCCCACATCCTCCAACACACATGCACACACACTGACACATGGAAACATTAGCTGGGACAAGCCAAGTGCTCCTAGTTTCCGTTTCCGGCGCAAAGTTGCCAGGCAGCCTTGCAAAATTAACAACAATGGCGGTGCTAAAGACGTCGCCTCATCTTCTCAGTGTGTGTGCGCGTGTGGCTTTTGTGGCTTTAAGTAGCGAAATGTGCCAGGTCACCCACACAGGATCTGGATCCCTTTCCTTCCGTATCTAGCGCCATTTAGTTGCTGATTTTCTTACACTTTTTAGCGCTGCCAGTTCGCCGTCATTTTACGGCGAGGTTTCCGTACGTGCAATGCATTGCCACGCTGAATGTGAATGCGAGTGCGAATATGAATGCGCATTGTAGTTTCGGGGGGTAAAGCGTTCAAGGTGAGGGGGCCACGACATCCAACTGGCAAGCAGCGAGGATTTATGTAGTCTTTTGGCCCCGGCACAGGCCAATTGAAATGTCACGTCGTCTAACGATGAATGAGGGCGTAATGAAGCGCTTAATGTGGTGGGAAATTCTAATCAAATGGTTAAGAAAATTAAATTATTCCATTTCCTTGCTAATGCAAAATTATACTCTATAAAAATAATAATTAAATAACATTCCATTTCTCTAATCAACAGAGAAAATAAAAAAAAGACTAAAACTTAAAGTGGAAATAGAATTTTGTTGTTTCCAATTAAAACTGTTTAGAATCTTCAATATTGATGTATTTTTGAACCAATGGTAACATTACTTTCACAGAACAAAAAATATAATAGAAGTTTGAGTTCAATTAGCAATTTGAGGAATCAAAACAAATGGAATAAATGTATAAGCCAATATAGCGAATAAAAAGCTCTATCAAAAATGAAGTTTTCTCGTGAAAACCAAACGCAATCGCCTGAGCTAAGTAAAACTCTATAAATTTAGAAATTAGATTTAGTTAAAACCCATTGGTATTTAAGCGAACAAAAATGCTTCCAATTTATCGACAGAATTAAGCGGGTATAATCCGATTAAATGTTTTAAAAATAATAAATATTTGTTTTGCACTCAGCTGCTACATTGACTGTTAAATAAGTGCTGCTTGCCACTTCCGCAAATAAATTGAAAACAGCATTTGGCTAATTAACATTTGATAGTCCCACCAGGAAGCGTAAATCCATAGTTTTAAATACATTTTATTTTCGCTATTCCACCGTTTCAGCGGTCACTCAATGCCATTTCAAATGGCAAAGATACATTTTCCATTGTCATATTTTCGACCATTTTCCATTTTCCATTTCCAATTCCCAATCAACTCGTTTCTATGGCAGCCCGTGCACATGGAAAGCATTTTAAAATGTCAATCCAATGAATGTTTTATTTGTGACGATGCAGCAGCAGCAACCATCAATTTGTGTGGGTTCGATATGGGATAATGGCAGCTGGCATTTTATTTAATTCGCACGACTGCATGCGATTTATGCATTTGAAAAGTTCTGTGGTGAGGGACCAGCATCTACATATATATACTTTTTAGTTTTACTTTTATCCGAGTGAATAGAACCGAAACTTGTTCAGCAAGTTCAAGCCCGCTGATAGAGACAGCAATTTGCGTCTTCACTTTCAATGCCCCAGCATCTTCTCGCATATAATATGTACATGCCCACTCTTGATATCTCGGATTTCCCTCTTCTGCTGCGATGGCAATGAACTTCGGCGGGATGCAGTCGAGAACTTCAAGCTACTTTATCTGTATCTATCAGTTGCCCAGTTGGCCGAGAGCTGTCAAACTTGTTTTGCCCGCCAACGAAACCGAAACGAAGCTTGTTTCGGTCCTGCTCCTGATGCCTGTGGTACATGGTGTCTGCCACATGTGCAATCCAATCTTAGCCAACGACATTTGCTGACCTTACGGATATGAAACGATAATGTTACGCTCTTAAGCAAATATCCACCGATGTTGTGTCCTCCGGACCGAATGCATATAAATGAGCAAAAAAGCCCTAAGGATGTCTGACACGAGCTCGATTCCGTTGACAAAGTGCACTGCGAAAAATGAGATTAGAACTGGTGGTTATGTTGTTTGCGTGCATTTCGATCAGTTATTCAGGAAGTATAAGAAAGTTGGTATCTAGCATGTATGTACACCCACTCTTACGCCCACAAATACGTGGTTGACCCGTAATATAGACAGATTTTTGAGTGGTTAAAAAAACCGGAAACCCACTTGGCTGCGCCTCATTCTTTATTCTTATTCGATTCATACCCGATATGAGTGTAAATTTCATCAAGGAGAAAAGGTCTCGGATAAATCGAGAAGAGAGTATCCCGTCGTCGACGACTTTGCAAAACTTCCAGTGATCTTTTACAATACTTTTGGTATAGCTCCCTATGGAACTGAAACTGGAACTAGCCTTTGGTTTCATCTCTTTTTTTTGCTGATAATCGTCAACACGATGGTAGTTCTCACAACGGAAGTTCATTTTATGGTGAAAACATTTCGCGAAATCGATAATTTTTTTGAGGGTAGCATTTTATTGGGCTACATATCTTTCTCGGTTGTGGGCATTTTAAAAATATTTACAGTGCAGATTAAAAAGCCAAAGTTGACCAGTCTGGTGCGAAAGTTAGAGGCTTGCTTCCCGCCTCCCAACGAAAAGGAGCAGGAGCAGTATGATGTGAAGTTCTACCTGAAACAATGCCATCTTTACACCAAGGGATTTGGAGGTCTCCTCACGGTTATGTGCGTGGTCCACACCCTGACTCCCGTAATCATACATATTTTTAAGAAATGGTGGCTCCACTTGTCGGATGCTGAACAGCAGCTACCTTTTTTCAATTTTGCGCCTTGGGAATGGCGCAACAGCTGGAGATTCTATCCAACCTATCTTCTCCAGTCGCTTGCCGGCTATACTACAACCTGTGGAGACATATCCGGTGACCTTATGATCTTTGCCGTGGTGTTCCAGGTCATCATGCACTACGACAGACTGGTCCAGGCCCTCAGGGAGTTCAAGATTCAGAATCATTGCCAAGTCGATGGAGCTTATGAGGATCAAAGGGCGTTGCGGTGCTTAATCGCCTTCCACATCGATATACTCGGGTGCGTTACAAAACTTGAAGTTCAATAAATACCAAAAAGTAATACTTATCTTTCAGTATCACCGACGTAATGAACGACGTCTTTGGAATTCCCCTGCTGTTGAACTTTATGGTCTCTTCGCTGCTCGTTTGCCTAGTGGGTGTTCAATTAACCGTCGAATTCCACCCCGAGTAGTTTTGTAAGCAATTGCTACTACTAGTTTCAGCACTGGTGGAGATATATCTCATCTGCTCCTTCAGCCAAAAGCTGATTAATGCGGTCTGCTAAGTATGCTCCTGCCTCGGTTCTATCCATTAAAAGATACATTTTCAGAGTGAAAACGTGGAACTTGCAGTTTACGATATGAATTGGATCGCGGCAGACGTTCGATGCCGAAAAATGCTCATTTTAGCACTGCGGGCACAGTAGCCTGTCTGCCTGAAAGCTACAGCACTTCTAAAAGTATCTATGAATACTATGAGCTCCGTAAGTACCAGAGTTTGATTATGAGTTAATTTAAGTTACTGATGGCTTTATCTTCTTGTAGTTTCTTAGCTTGTCGTACAGGTTCTTTTGCGTCATTCAAATGATGTATAAGTAATTGCTGAAATGTAGAACAAAAAAATCCTAAAATTTTATTATTACTAGCTTAGATATAAAATGCAAAAATAAAGTATCCTCGACATTATAAATATAAGTATTTAAGATGAAGCTATTACATAGTAATAAGTTTTTTCTGCCTAAAGGAAATATATATACTTATTAATAATATTTTTATGGCATTACATTTGATATATCCTGTTTAGTTTTTACAGTGCAGCTGGCTGGTTGGTAAGAAGGAGATACATGGAAAACAATCAAATGGCTGGCGAAAAGAACATCGCTGCCTGAGGAAAAGCGGAAAAGCGGGCAGACAAAAGATGGCCTAAGGTTTCCCACGTACTCTTTCCCTTTGCCCATTCGTTCAGTTATTCATTCTCGCATTCATTCGGCTGCCTGGAAATGTCGCTTTGCATGTGTGGGTCCTTATATCTACGCTTTGGGCCACAGGGCGTATACGTAATGCTGCCTCCATGGCGGCTTTTGTTCAACATGACAAAGACATGACAGCGACAGCAGCACGCAAGAAATACAGCAACCACGAAATGGTGCTCTTTGTAATGCTTTTAATGCTTTCAAAATTCTCCATGGATTGATTTATGGCCACGAAGGAAGGAAGAACCAGAAAAATCAGCCAGAGCTAAGACCAGGCATTGACAAATCAATGGCCAGCTTTAGAGGTCACAAAGATAAGTCGGGCAGGGGATTATGAGCGAGAACTTATGAAGAAATATCTTTTTGCGGCTTTAAATTTATTGAAGTTTCTTGATAAATGTCTCGAACTCTCAGTCCTGACCATCGCATCCATTTATTAGCCCGACTGACAACTGAAGCACTCCATTGTCACCAGAACATTCATCAATTTCACTTACTTTCGCATTTTGATGGAAAACTGGCAGTCAAATGAAAAACAACTGGAGGATGAGGAAAAGCTCAATGGCCTTGGGTGGGTAAACATTGTCTACTCCTTTGCTTTGTTTTGCTTTCATTGAAAGTTCTGTGCTGTAGCTGATTTGCATATAGAAAACTTGTTAATAATGAACCAAACCAGGTGGTATGGATGGGAGAAAATACCGACCCCCACCCCCACCCGCATCCGCATCAACATCCGCATCAGCAGAAGCAACAATAACTTTGCCAACCGGCTTAGATGAAAGTTTTCTGATTGAGTTTTTGACAGTTTCTCTGAGGGATTCCCCTCCCCGAAAAAAGGTGTCTGCACTAAGCTTGTTTTGATTTTCCGTTTATTGTTTTTGCTCAGCTGCCTTGGAAAAGTTTTTAGCTGCTAATTGCTTGAGCTCATAATTAGAACAAATGCATATGAATGTTTTGAATTTTCCCTGCCGACCGCAGGACCTTTTTCCAGGCCGAATATTTTGGTAAATTTATGCAAATAACAGTGCGCGTCAAAATTCACGACTAATTAGCTCGAAAGTTAAATGGAAACACAAAGTATACGGCATTAATTTATGTTGGAATACATTTTTTGTGACGTCTGACAGTTTTTTCTTTGATGCTTCCGTCATTTGTTTAAACAAATGCAAACGAATGCTAAATCATTCGGCTGCTGTCACGCCCACCTGCCGTTCAGTAAAACTTTAGCTATTCAACTTTGGCCATGCAGAAAGAATTCAGCATTTGTTCTGATGTTTCTCTTGGATGCAACAATGTGGAGCAACTTTTTGGACACTATTTCCCATGCGGATCCCAAAAATGTTGAATGCATTACATAATGCAAAATGAAACTTCAGAAAAACAAGTTGAAACAAAATAGGAGTACCCTTCTTTATACATTTTTTACCGAAACGAAATGGCTCGTGATAATAACTAGCATCACTCTTGAATAAAACAATTTTAATTATTAAAAATATTTCACGCGTCGAGTTCAATTCATGTGATATGCGGTCTGTTCCACATCGATTTGGTTAACACTTTAATGCGACTCACTAGACATTGTCGGATGAAAACAGGAGTAATTTAACGCATGGGCCAATTTGTGGCTTAAACAATTACAATTACCAATTATTTTTTCCCCTTTTAAAACCATGCATAATATATTGAAATGTAATGTTTTGGTTAAGTGGATAAAATAATACAGGCAGGAGTTTTTGCAAAATATGTACAGAACTGACCGTTTTATTGAATTAAGGCTTACGTTTAATTTTTCAATTTAAGCTTTGATACAAGTTTTACTTTTTGTGCCAATTGAATTGAATGGCAAAGCTTTTTTATAACATAGTGTTTAACGAAAACCACAAAGTGTATCAAAATCATAAAAATTAAAAACCAAATTAATTAAACATCAAAAAAAATGTTAAAAGACTACTTATAAAAAAGACTCAAATGAGGATTATTTTCGGTCCATGCATATTGAGCTTAAAGGATTTAATTTTTTTTTATTAAATTGGAATATAGTGCTGTGGCTTTTAGATAATTGTCTTGCGTTCTGAAAGGTGTTTAATTTAACAAAAAGAGTACAAAATAATAATCAATTGATTTATGATACTCCATCCTAACCTCTCCAGTGATTAAGCAAGGCTGAAAAACAAGCAAACCCTTAGTATACTTTAAAATTCAACATTTAAATCCCGCAGTATAATCTGCAAACGGCTGTTCGACTCGTATTTCCATGGTTCAGATTTTTGACAGTGCCCACTTTGAAATGAAATGCACAAAATGCTGGTCCTCGATTTCCCCGGAGCCAAAGAGAACGATGCGGACAGAAACAAAATCTGCGTGTTCGAAATTCGACTGTTGTCGCTGTGGACGCTGTTGCAATTAGCCCCGAAATGTGGTTCAATTAGGGGAGTGCCCGCCCGCGGGCTGTGGGCGTGGTTTGTAGCCCCCAGCCCCCAGCCGCTAATTTGCATATTGCATTACACGAAATTTCCAACTAGTGACGGGTTTGGATGGGTTACGTTCGGATGGAATCAGTTTACGGGCTACATTGTTGTCCGGCTTAATTAAAAATTTTACGCCGCTTGCAGTGCATCAATAATTGGATTGTTCGCAGCTAAAGTGGTAACTTTGTTTTTGTGAATTTCCACCCACGATATGCTGAAAGCCTTTGCATTATTGATTTTACCATAATGCCCCCCGTTACTTGGCCAATAAGCGGCAGATCCAGCTTGTCTGCCCGTCTGTTTGGCTGGGTGAATTTTCTTAAAGATAAACCGGCGTAAACGTCAATTATGGTGGCGTACATCCTGTGTAACGCAAACCAGGATGATTGAATGACGGAGGCCCGTTGGTGAAAACAAAAACTAAGCAAACGCTTAAACCCCGTCAATGCCAACAGCAGCTATGGCAGTGACATTTTTTGAAAGTAATCCCGACGAAATGTTTGATTTATGTCAACGTTGAGGGAAGTGCTGCGGACCATTAGCTAGTGGGACAATATATATGCGGGCCCTGGGTGTGGAGATTCAGAGGGTTGACAGTCTCTACAAGTTTAAGATGGTGTTTGAAGTTTTACTAAACCAATTTTTTTAGACTTTGTTGCAGAGTCTAGGTACGAGTTAAGAAGAATAAAGTTTTATAAGCAGAGCAATGAACAGTGTTATTTATCTACTATTTAAATTTTGAATCTAGTTATAAAGATGTTTAAAAGTATGCAACAACATATTTACAATCTAGAAGTTTGATGGATTTCTTCTAAAAGGCGACGTTAATTTTTTTATTATACACTTTTAGACACCTTTTGATTTAATTTTTTAAGCACTCAAAGAAAACCTGCACCTATTCGTTAAAACAGCAATAATCAGAAGTTAAGCTCTTTTGAGTGCTTTAAGTAAACTAATTAAAATACAATTAGGTTGGTTCAATTCAGGTCAGGTATTTATAATTAATCAAACGCTTGGATAAAATGAGTTGTCAATTTTATTGTAAGGAGGGGTTACAAAAACCTTATTGGCTTTTCCTAATGAGACAATTAACCAAAAGCTCAATAAAAAATATAAAAAATGCCAGAATTAAAAAGCAGTCCAACCAAATCCAGACCCAGAACAGGTCGCCCACCTTAAAATCTCGGAAAGCCATGTGGGTATATGGATCCTTTTGAGAGATCATGCCTAGGGTGACCATTTCCCGAAGCGTTTGCTGTTTCCAATATTCCACGATTCCGGCTCCCTGGGCCCGTTCGATAAGATCATTGATATGATGTTCGTAGATGGAGTTGGACTGCATAACCAGCGAAAGCAAGACACTTGTGCCGATGATCTGTAGTTCCGGCTGGATTGTATATACCGGTTGCTTAAAGAGCTCCTGCCTTTTGGCCACAATTAGCCAATCGGACGTGAGAACAGAGAAAGCTTGTGATCTATTGAGGCCACTCCTGAGCGCATTATACTCCACGGTGTCCTTGAAAGTCAACCGATCCTTAATGGCTCGAATCGGTCGCTCCCACATGTTTTCGTCTAAGTAAAACTGTTCAGCCTTTTCAAAAAGGACAGTCACATGGGAATCACGAAGCTGCTGAAAGTTAGAAATTTGTCGAGATGAGGGTCGCTTGGTCAGAAGCGTCTTCAAATGGGCAGCAAAAAGGGTACTCAGAACCAAGCCAAGTAAAAATAAAGTGGCATTGGTTAACCGCGAACTGATGGTATTCCGGGCACTCATCTTGAAGGACTGACCCACAATACCTGATATCATACGTTCATTCAGCACCAGGTTCGACCAATCCACACGTTTCTGGAGCAATAGTGGTCCAAAGCAGGTGTCCAGAATGGTGAATATATAGTAGGAGATCAACAGGACGATCAGGAAATTTTTCCCACACACCACCACATATACATCGGCGGTGGGTATTTGCTGGGCTCGCGGAACCATTATGTACCAGTTCTCCATGACGTACACGTTCGAGAACACTCCAAACTTACTGGATGCCTCGAAGCCACAAAGGCTGATGGGCATGTTGATGGTGCCATTGAGGGTCATGTTTCGAAGTAGAATTAAATTCAACCGCTCACCTGGTACAATGGGTCTTTGCCACCGAAAGGTGAAGTTGTATATTCGGGAAAACTCCAGTAGAAACTTGTAAACGTAGCCCGTCATTTCCAGACCTCCTGTTTTCGCGTTTCGATAGACAATCGAACGTGGTGGAAATTGATCCGGTAGAGTCAGTATATCTTTGCCATAGTAATTCCGAACTTTAACAAAGATGCGTGATTTTTCTGGGTCTATTTCCAGCCATCGTTGCGGAGCATAGGGCTGCAGTCGAAATATCCTATTTCCGTGTGCAATCACAGCCACATGAAGAAAGCGCCAATGTTCCGCTGTGTTGGCAATGTCGATGGTTGGAACTTTTTCCCATTTCCTTAACAGTAGCACACTGACTGTCCTCATATTCAAGAGACTTCGGTCAAGTGCCTGCCACAAATCCGAATCCAAGTTCGAATTTCCGGTCTGCCAAAACAGTACCAGCATTTTGTTGTTGTGGCTTCCTTTCACATAGAAGTCCATCTGCTCGTTGAAATTAAGAACCGGCCAGGAGAGCCTCTCCAAGCCAAATGCATTGCTCTGTTGGCTATGTCTGAGCAGCAGAACTGTTTCATGGTGCTTTTCCTTGTAGATGCTGGCCAGGATGGGATTCAGCCAACTGGATTCGTTAAACAGCAGCAAAACGGGGACCAGCAGCGGCCACATGTCCAAGCTAAATGGTGGGAAAACCGGGCAGACCAGCCATTTTTACTTCGAATAAACGCTAATTAGTGGAAGTTACAAATGATTTGGGGGCTCGCTAATGGTATACGGATTGCAGGGCATTGAAAAATGGGCGTCATTAGCGTTAAGTCCTACGGCTTAAATGTGCGTATCCACAGGCTCAATTATAAATTGGGAAAAACTGAGGGAAAATACGCGCCATTGCCATTTCCGGGAGAATATTTGAAAATGATTTGTGGCTTGGCTTGAATACTTGAACGTTTCTAATTGCCCTGGCAAATTGCTTTCAGTGTTGTTTGTCAAATTTGCATATACACATCCTTTTGACTCTATTAAGCCAGCTTGATGATTGATTTTATCTTGGTTTTGGTTTCGGTTTCGGCTCACTTGCAATCAAAATATATTGAAATTGTTGATTGATACCCTCAGAGGGTATTGTTGAGCCGAAATACAAATTACTTTTGCTTGAATTATGTATTGTTTTAACTTCAGAAAAACCACAGTCCGGAACCTTAAACTGCTCATCAACTTTTCAACAAGTTTTTACCACTTCCGCTTCCTAGCTTTTCCATTTTGCCGCTGCTTCTCCTTCAATTAAACAAGTTAAACTGGGCAAGAGGAGTGGAAAAAAAGGCTGAATGAGTCAAGTGCGTGTTGCTTGAAGAGCGTGTCGCATTAATTTTCAGGCGAGTGCATATTTGATTTCCTTTTTCATTCATATTTCACGTCGTCTGCTCTTATTTCGTGCTTTTGCATAAAGTCGAGACGGGTTATTCATTTCCTTCTTGTCGTTGACATGCATAAAATTGCAATGAATTGTTGCTTGGCATAATTTAAGGCACGGCCTGTCGAGAAGCAAGGACATATTCCCAAGCCGTGCCACACGGCGTATGCGTAATGTGGCATTAATTGCATTTATTTGCTTTGCTGATTGATTTCTCCGGCTGAGACGGATTTAACGGCCTACAACTTTTCCCCCAGCACAAGACAAGACGAGACAAGACAATTTGGTTTATCAAAGTCATTTGGTTCCTGGCCTAGAGGCAGCCACGCCCACATAAATTAACGCAGACTTAACGAAGCGTTAACACAAAGGACGGGAGCCCGAAAAGCAGCTGCCAACCCCAGACTCCAGACTCCAGTCGACTTCTGCGACAATAAATTTATTGGTTTTATCCTGAAGCTTATCAAGTTCGCCTCGTCTGTTCATCTCATCGCACAACATGTGCAGTAAATTTTTATGTCAAATGGGTTTCGCCTCCATCGTAATATAATTTATGCATAAAATAATGAGCGTGCTTTTAGGCACTGCTCGAATGGGAAAAACGTGTGTGTATGTGCTTGTGAGTTGGAAAAAGTTATTAATTGATTTGCTTTTAAAGCTGCCGACTCAATGGCTCATCCCTGAAAAGTTTACACAAGGTGGGCGGGAAAATGGAAAAGTTTTTTTTTTTTTTTTGGGCCCACCACTTGAAACCTGAAGCCGAATCCTTGTTGATGGCATTGCCTAAGTAGGGTTGCTTAAGATTTTTCGACAATGTGTTAAGTGAAAATTGACACAGGCCAAAGGGGAAAACTTTCCATGATTGAACGCATTTCGGGAAAAGGCTTTAAAAAGGACCTGTATCTCGGGAGCATTTAAAGTCTGTCAGCCCGCAAATGTTGGCCATGTTAAGCTGTGAAATTGTTCGCCATTTTGCGGGCGCCATTTTCAGCTGTGCGCTTTTTTAATTAAAAAAGTGGCCAACTATACGAGGGGAAAAAAGGGGGGGCGGGGAAATGGCGACAGACATTTGAACTTGTTCCTTGCCTCTTTTAATTTCCAATCTCTATTCCTGTGCCACTGTTGCAGAAACTCTAGACAAAAAAGTAATTAAAATACTGCAAATATTTGACCAGTTCGAATGCATTTCCCCCATCTCGGCCAATTCTGCAAGTTGCGCTAGAATCCTTGACCGCATTCCGTATCCCTGGCACATCCTGGCATCTAATGCGGCTAACTGAGCTGAGTATTCTCCGTTCATTTGTCTGCGTTCCGTGTCGTTAGCCTGACAACCGGGCCGCATCCTTTTCGAGTTTGCGCTTGTTTGTCATCCTTTTTGCGGTCTCCAGCTTGTGCCCTTCATATGATTGCGGCTTCATGCTTTTGCATATTTCCCATGAATACAATTTCTGCACCGACACACACAGCCGCACGCAGGATCCGCTGAATTATGCGTAAATTTTCGCAGATATGCGAACTGAGTTGTCAACAAGCTCAGGTTGTGGTTGTCTCGAAAACCGCCCATATACCTGGTTACTTTCGGTATGCTGAGAATTTAGATGTCAACCTTGATTCGGGACAATATAGAGGGTTCTTGGAGCGTTGCTGATAAATATCTAGAGAAACTTATTAACAAAGATGGTATTGATATGATATTTGCAGCTACATAATTATATTTTTTCAAATTTTTTAATAATGTTTTATTTTCTATTTTATCATATTTTATGTATTTTTTACAAACAAATTTTTCGAGATAGTATTATCAGACAGTAAAGTGGAAACTTTTAGAGAAATGTTACGTTACCATCCTGTATTAAATCTTATTGAATTTTTATTTTTTACCTTAGACAGTTTCTTAATATATATTTACCATAATACCATTTTAAGAAATACTAGCTTTTGCCAGAAAGTTTCTTTTGTTTCTATTGTTGTACTTAAATGTTTGAATTTACATAGATAGTATAACACATTACTCCTTTGCTTAGCTTGTTACCATTTAAAGACCAATTAAACATTCAATATTTTGTTTAACAATTAAAATGTTGTGAAAGGGAAATTCGATTTTTGTTAAATTGTTAAGTTACAATTTTCCCCAAATTTGCCATGTTTGGGAGACAAGATTTTTCAATAAAAGCCCTTGTATGCTGGCCCATGTTTGACAATGTCTGACCATGTTTACCCTGTGGCTGTGGACGCATCTTCAGGCGACTTGAAGAGAGCCCCAGCCTCTCGCCGCACGCAAACCAAAACAGAGAAATTTGTCTAGAACGCTGGGCCAAAACGCCCCACTCCCCCCTCCATGCCCACTCCACGGAAAACCAGCGTCGAGCACGTGTATTTGGGGCGATGTGATTGGTCAACGGCTTTCGCTTTTCGTTGCCGCAGAGAGCGAGCGTTTCCGAATGCCTCGCGAAAACTAAGAGAGCGGGCTAAGAGAGAGAGCCGAAAACTGGTTTTCCGAGGCGAACAGGGAAATGCACCCTGTATCGCCGGAGTGCTTTTCTGCTGAACGAAACAACCGAACCGCCGCAGTTGTTGTTCGGCGTTCTTTGTGGTCAGACACTGGCGTATACGTATACGCAACGTCATCGTTGGTCTGGCGTCGCTTCGAAAAGCGAGAATTCTGCATACCGGTTGCGTTTCTTAAATAACAAAAAGAAAAAACAAAAACAAATAAATAAAACGGTCCCGTATCGGTTTCGACGTCTCGCACGCACGTAATACGAGTCGTTTTCCGTTAAAAATTTAAATTCAAAAACATAACCATAACCGCAACCATCAAAAGCAAATAAGGTACAACATATTGGTATTCTTATATTCACAATTGTCGTGTGCTCGCTTGCATTCTCGAAAACGGGTTTTACGGCATTCCCAATCCAATCTGCACTGGGCATTATTTATGTTCGTGACGAAAGTGAAGTTCTACCCGATCATAATCTAAGCATTTCCGTTTCGAAAGTAAGGAAAGAAAATAAACGGTGGTTTTGCAAATAAAGACGCCGTAAAACAGAACTGGCAAAAAAGTTATTTAATATTCATACCCGTGTAGGAAAAAAATCGTACTCAGGCAAACATAGCAACAAGTCGGCGCCAACTCACATTCAAACAAACAGGAAAAAAAAAATACAAAACCAAATCCAAACTTAAACAACGCTGTGTTTATTACCATTCAGCTGAGAGCATTGGATAGGTAGAAAAGCCTCGTCTTCCGAGAATTGGCAGTTAATTTTTGAAATCACCTCCGACCAAGCGAACCCCTAAAAAGAGATTAAAAAAGAAAAGAACCGAAGACGAGCCGAGACCTGTTAAATATCCGTAGGTGTTGTGTGTGTATTTGTGTGTGTGTGTGTATGTGATAACTGTGAAACTATATACCCACAAGGCAGGGAAAAAAAAGACACTGGTGAGTCCACCCATTCGGATGACATTCGAGAACTATTCGACCTGCCCACGCCGCCAAAGAAATGGAAAGTTTTTTGCTTAGACTATGAGAAAAAGTGAAGAAAAGAATTTTTGCAGATCGCAGCTAAAAAACTGATTACGCGACGCGTTCTAGATACATTTTGGGCTGCAGTACAGATCTCGCGAGATATTAGTTGAATGTGTGCCAAAATGAGACGAGAAATACGGCCACAGTCGTGTTTATTATTTTTATAATTTATTGCCCAACAATAATAAGAATACATTCATAGTATATATGTATGTATATATATATAGAATTTCGAAGCGAGAACTGTTTGATTGCCGTTTACAACGCAGCATTCTGGTGAAATGCATCTGCAAGATACACACGAATGCAGACTGACACGGAAACCGGCGAGGCAGACGCATAATAAACGATAAATTTCAGGGCAATGACAAAATTGCTGATAACTGACCCACCAACATTTCGATTCTTGCTTCCACTCCGCTTTGTTTGATCATTAATATCTTTTAGTTAAATGTACTATGAAAAGTCAGGGGGAAAAGTTCACACTCAAGGTTAGTGTCTAGGCTCAAGAGTTATATTTTATGGTTTCTTGGGGCTTAAAACGCTTACTTAATGATCCCCAAATGAACGAATGCTTGAGCAGATTTCCCGAAAAAAAGAAGTAAAAATCAATGCTAACCTCCCAACCCGGTTGATTTGGCAATCGCTGTTTTGCCCAATAGATTTATGTTTTTGTGTATTTACGTTTTTTTCTCTTTTTCGGTTTAGACCAAAATTTTTGTGAGGTGC